GGTCAGAGGTCGAGGCTATGCGTTGGCGTGGATGTGGGATGTGGATGCACTTGTGCGCGGTGGCAGTGGCGGCGGAGGATGGTGAGGCGGGCAAAGTATGCATTCTGTGTATCATGTGTGTTCGTTTGTATTTTTACGGTCATGTGTTGATGTTTTGCTTATCTACATGTCTGGTCAATGTCTCTTCTTGTCTTGTTCTGCCTTCACCCCTTCAAGAGTGCGGCCGGGTGCGCGCATATGAAAGGGAATGATATTGCTTGACTCATTTGATCACGAGTGTATGGTGCAGTGGTATGTATTATGCAAAGCGATCGTGCGAGGAGGCGTGCCAGTGCCAGTGTCATCCCTCATTGTTGTGGCATGAAACACTGCAAGAAGGGAAGGAGCAGCGAAGTTCAAGTAAGAGCACAAAGCTATCGCCAAGGAGCGTGTAGTCGAAAGTTAGCAAACTGAGCGCCCAAATATGCATGCAAAGAGGGGCAGCAGTGCTCGACTTCAGCCGAGCACAGAGGCCATTAAGCGCAATCCAAATCCACTTCGTAGCTAGCGTGGTACAGTTTGACGAGTGCTTGGCCAACAATCAAGCGTTATTATTAAAACGAAGCAAATCGTCTCCCCTTAGTGGTCGTCAATAAGCACTTACACGTGAAGTAATTCAAGCGAAGGAGGCGGCACTACTAGAAGGAGAGGAGTAGTGTAAAACGCGAGTAGCGGTATTGTGATGGGTAGGGAAAGATGAAGAAATGGAATTGGTGTGGGAAGTAATGGGTAGATAGTGAATGCGTTGGTTGAATGATGGCCTCACTTATCACAGTTTCTATGCATGTTGGTATGGTCAAGGTCGCTCCAATTGGGCATCAGTGAGCAGTCGTATTTGGCTCTTCACAAGCAGTTCTAGTACAGCTAATGTACCACTCCACATTCACGCAATCAGCACCACACACTACTCCTTCATTTCAGGTGACTAGCGCATTCATTAATGGGCTAAATGCTGTTGCGCTCAGTAGTTGTTTTGATTCGCTCGTGTTGGTGTAAGATGGGAAGTGTTGATGCATTGCAAATCAGTCAGTTACAGTTCCTGGAAAGTGAACGTATGTGCTGCAGATCAGTGCAAATCTCTCGTCTCTCGTTATGCTTTAATGCACTTTTCTGCTGTTATGTTGCAACTGAGTGGGTTACATTAATGTGCGAACTGGATGCCGCTGGCCTCTAGGCGCTGCTGGTTTGCCTTTAACGATCGCGCGAATGAGCATTAAGATAAATGCAGAAAATGTGGACGTTAATCCATGCTGATTGTAGATCGGAGAAAAACTCTCGGCAGCCCCAGGAAATACCGAAGTTGTCTGCATTGGGAACAACTCTGCTGGCTACCGCCAACACCAGTGTGTCGCACCGTCCTGCTCCTGCCGACAGACTGCTAGCAAGTGATGCTGTGCGCGCAACTACTCTGCATCTTATCGACCTTCTCACCAGTCGACCAATGCGCAACCACTTCCTCACAGCCTTACCAGTCGATCGGTTGGTCAATACGATGACGTGGATAAGTGGGGAGCAGGACGACAGTTAGAATTTGCTTACTTGTGCTGCTCCGACAATGGTAGTGCCTGAAATAAGACAACATTTGCAGTCTCCCTGTACCCCAGATTGGATACGTTTTGGTCTGCGTGTCTACTAGCGGACTGCATTTGTGGTCAAATGCTACGCCTGTAAACGCACCCAAGACAAACATGATGTCGTCACAATCGGTTGCAACAATCGAATACTCAATTGTTCACTTTTAAAGTTGCAGGAGGATGCAGCAGTAAAGGATGAGGTGTTTATGGCGTTGTTGTTCTCAAAAGCGTACTCCTCAATGACCGCTTACTTAAGGCACAATATCTCACATAACAAGCAGGCCATTTTATCTCACCGATCGGTAGCATCATAGTGGATAAGAGAGCATCTGTCACCGAGATCCTCTCACAGAAGGACCTACAATGCGTCCAGAAGAGTCGCTTTTCTTCACATTCACCAAGGTGCTTCAGCAGCAGCGGCCCTGTACAAACGGCAAGGAGATATTGCGTGGAAGTACTGGCATCTGTTACACTCTTTTCGCTAGGACAGATCACTAAAATCACCAACACCAGACACTCAACTTGGCTGTGTAGCACCTAATACGACTGTCATTTTAGTTCACACGGACAGCAGCAGACAGCAGCCAGCAGATGCGCCCAATCAGCCATGGTGAAGGTTTGTAGCGAGACTTCACATTGAAAGAATACAATCCTAACCTCGGCTGTCCGCGCTAAGCTATGCCAAATAAGAGGCATTTAAATGTTTGCAAACTGTGACACCAACTCAGGTGGA